GGCGGCATTTCGGTGTGTGTGTGTGTGTGCATGTGTGCTGTGTGTGTGCATGTGTGCTGTGTGTTTGTGTGTGTGCGTGTGTGCTTTGCGTAATGTGTGTGTGATAAGCGTATGTTTTTAGGTGTGTTTTCTGTGAGTGGTTGAGAGTGCGTGTTTGTGAGTCTGTTCATGGTCGGGCTTGGGTGAACGTCTAGCTGACACGGGTGCATCCCTTGGCGTGCGTGTTGGGAAGCGTCTGTGTGAGTGTGTGTGAGTCTGATAGTAGGCTGGGCCTGGCGAGTTTGCTGGCGGACCCGGGTGTCTCTTGGCGTGCATTTCGGCAAGCGTCTGCGTGAGTGTGTGTAAGCGGCCTGAATGTGCTGGCAGAGCCGGGCGTCCCCTTGGTGGGTGGCGTTTCGGTGGGTGTGTGTGCGTGTGTGCTGTGTTTTTGTGTGCTTTGTTTGCGTAATGTGTGTGTGATAAGCATATGTTTTAGGTATGTTTTCTATGAGTGCTTGAGAGTGCGTGTTTGCGTGTCTGTTCGTGGTCGGGCCTGGGTGAGTGTCTAGTGGACACGGGTGCATCCCTTGGCATGCGTGTTGGGGAGCGTCAGTGTGAGTGTGTGTGAGTCTGATAGTAGGCGGGGCCTGGCGAGTGGCTGGCGGACCCGGGTGCATCTTTTGGCGTGCATTTCGGCGAGCGTCTGTGTGAGTGTGTGTAAGCGGGCCTGAATGTGTGGCTGGAGGAGCCAGGCGTCCCTTGATGGGCGGCGTTTCGTAGGACGGCGATGGAGCTGGAACGTCATGGCCAAAGCCCTGTTTTCAAATCTATGAATACTTCTTTTATTTTCTCTTGATCACTAACATCCCATGTGTGCGTGTGAGCGCGTGTATGTGTGTGTGTGTGTGTGTGCGGGCGCACCTTCGTGAGTGTGTTTGTATGTTGGTCACATGAAAATATCACGTGATTTTCGCGCCATTTCCCGTGACATTATCACGTGATCTTCACGCTGTCACGTGACAATATCATGTGATTTTCACGCCATCACGTGACAATATCACGTGATTTTCCACGCCTCTTTAGGCGTGTCTATGGAAAAAAATATAAAAGGGCGAAGACAGGTCAAGGTAATCACTTGCCAGCTTGAACCTCTGATCTTTGCATCATGTCACGCCAGCTTTCCGTTCGCCGTTCCCGGAGGCCTCGGTCTTCCCCTGCCATCCGCTCCCTCAGTTTTGAGGAAGAGGAGGCGGTGGATGACCCCAGGCCTTCGACTTCTAGGGGTGTTCCTCGCCTGAGGGATGCACCTGACCCTCTCCTTTACACGTTTTGCCATTCCTCTGACGAGGAATGTGGGGACTCGGAAGAGGAGTACACGCCGCCAGCGAAACATCGCAGGACCAAGGATCATTCCGGTGTTTTCTCCATCCTTTGATTTGAAAAAAGTACAACCTGGCTTCTTTGGCATACTGACACATTTTTACGTAGCTTTATGGAAAACTTATGTGTTTTTTCAAATTCTTCCACAGATCCTCACTTCGGCGATGATTCCGACTGGGAGGGCAGCGACTCGAAGGACGAGTCCGAGCTCTCCGACTGTGAGTCAGAGGAAGACTTCGTGCCGCTGGACGACACATCGTTGGACTATGACGAGAATCTGGCCGAGTATGTCAGGCGCCGCTGGGCTCGTACCGCCCCCGGTATCTCCTCCTTTGTTTGGAGGAAGAGAGAGAACGAGCCACGGCGCTTCGACTTTACCACAGCTCCTGGGGTCAAGGTTCCTGACCTGGATGCTGAATCCACACCTGAAGAGGTCTTCAGGCAGTTCCTGATGCAGGAACTGTTAGAAAAGATCGTGCAGTAGACGAATCGGTAAGCACATCATCTAATATTCCTTGTTTGTTGGTTTGAAGATATCTGTTTACAATTTCTCATGCTCTGGCTCTTGCAAACACGATTTTTACAATGCCAATTCTCCTTGTCCTGCAGATATGTTGCGCAGAATCCACGGACGCGTTCTGCCCACACGAAGGGATGGGAGGACACGACCGTGAAGGAGGTTCGTACTTATCTTGGGCTGCGGTTCTTGATGGGGCTACAGTCCAAGAGGCAAATGCGAGTCTTCTGGTCTCGCGACCCTCTGATGTCGTCGGCGATTTTCCCGCAGACGATGTCGCGCGACAGATTTGATCAGCTGACAGCAGCACTACACTTCACAGACAGCCAGGCCGAGCGTCAAGCAGATGATCGACTCTGGAAGCTGAGGCCTGTCGTAGATGTGCTCGACAGGCAATTTAGAGAAGTTTTTGTGCCAAACAAGGTCGTCTCCATTGACGAGAGCCTTTGGGCCTTCAAGGAGCGCCACCAGGCTCTACAGTTCGTGCCCAACAAGAGAGCACGCAGGGGAATAAAGGTATACAAGCTCTGCTCGAGTTTGGGGCCAGAGGCCGGCTACACCACCGCCTTTCGTATCTACATGGGGAAGGATCGCGGGGACGTCCCCGCGAGCATGAAGCGGTGATAGACCTGCTGCTGGAGAGAGGGGACCTCATGGACAAGGGGTACGAAGTACATACCGACAACTGGTACTCGTCCCTAGTCTGTTCCACCACCTACAAAAAAAAAACAAGCGCTGTCGGTACGGTCAGAAGCAACAGGAAGCAGATGCCGACAGACCTGCAGGCAAAAGGGCGAGGAAGTGTAGACTTCCGAAGTACAGACTCGGGTATGCTCGCCCTTCAGTGGCTGGACAAGAGGCCAGTTACCATGCTCTCCACGGTGCACACGAGCGAGATGGTAGCTCTTCCTCCCAACCGCCAAGGAATCCAACGAATAAAGCCAAAGGTTGTAACTGACTACAACAACGGCATGAAGGGAGTTGACTTCAGTGACCAGCTTTCAGGCTCCTACAAGTCCACGAGGAAAACCATCAAATGGTACAAAAAATATTTTTCAACCTTTTGGACATGGCTGTGGTCAACTCCCTGGCTGTATACCGGTTCCTTGGCGGAAAAATGGCTCAACAAGAATTCAAGTTGGAACTTGTGAGAAGTCTCCTGAAGGAGGAAGACCGCCGAGGAAGGAGGAACCGCATCGCCCGTGCTCGCTTTGCCCCTGCTGCCCCTGCTGCCCCACACATGCCAGAGGACACTCCCCTCCGAAGATGGCGACGATGTTCCCAGTGTTGGAACAGAAATAAGAAGAGGAAGGAGACACGTGTGATGTGTCGCACCTGTGGAGCTTCCGTGTGATGTGTCGCACCTGTGGAGCTTCCGTGTGATGTGTCGCACCTGTGGAGCTTCCGTGTGTGCGTCACCATGCTTCAAGGAGTACCACGCCACTCTACATGCTCCCTGAAGCATGAAATTTTGATAAGGTAATGTAAATATTGTGTGTATGTGTTGTAAAATATAATATATATATATAATATATATATATATATATATATATATATATATATATATATATATATATATATATATATGTACAGCCAGCAACAAAAGCGGTGACGCCTCGCCGGCCCTGGCTCGGAGAGATCATGCCCTTCTTACCCTGAACGGAGGCCCATGTTCAAACAACCTGAACATAGTTAGGATGGTTCGAATGTGAGGAGGAGGGAAAGTACAGAAATCAGGCGAAGAAGTTAGATGATGACTGAAATATATATGGAGAGAGAGAGAAAAAAAAATTATTCCTGTTTAGTTGTTAATCTGATGGAAATATTTGAGACCTGCTTTATGAAATAAGTGATCATATATCATTTTGAAAATAATTATCATAAAATTTTATCTTATCATTTTATATTATTGTTCGAACTGATTATTCATATTCATATTCGCCAGACGGAAATTACCTTGGTTTGCATTATATTAAGCTGATATATGGCTCTGCGTTATCCTAAGCACCTGCTCTCTCTTTTAGTCTTTTATTCTATGTTAAGAAGACATTACAGTATATCCTAATCTAGAATAGGATTTGTGTTTATGTTAACTTAATTGAGTTACCAATATTTGTTTTTGACAAGGGTAACAATACAGTTGGATGTATTTTATGTTGTATTACATGTAAAATAAAAATATATAACATGGGAAATAATTTCATTGAGTGCATTACATGCATTATATTGCATGTAAAAATACAAATAAATATGGAAGTGATTTTATTTGTTGTGCATCACATGCATTCTATTGCATGTAGAAATACAAATACTTGTAAAAGTTACTGCCTTGTCAATAGCGGGTCCAACCACCGAGGGCGTCAATTACCTCATTGAGGCGGGTCGGCATGGGCGTTCGCAAACGTTTGGTCTGCGTCGCACAGATTCCCATACCTCTCTCACTGATCGGTCAATTGCATCGCATGTGCGCTCTGGTCCCATGATAATTTCTTGTTTCATTATCCCCCATAGATTCTCTATAGGGTTAATATCACAGCCTTTGACTGGCCAGTCCATTACCTGAATTTCAGGGTGCCTACTGAGCCACTCGGTCACAATGTGGGCCGTGTGTATGCGGCTTCTGTTTTGCACAAATATAATGGATTCGCCCTCAGGGATTGCCATGGCTCTTACTGTTGGCAGCATCACATCTTCTAATATCAATATGTATTCCCTGGCGTTCAAAGTGCCGTTCACTCTTACCAGTTCCCCTGGGCCGTAGCTCGACATCCAGCCCCAGTAACTAACCCCTCCTGCTCCTTGCTCTCTCCTGAATGTTGCGAGCATCGTATCTTGTGCCGATGCGTCGCCAGACATGCCTTGCTCTGGGCTCCACCGACGTAAAGTGAGGTGCGTCACTAAAGATTACATTTTTCCAGAAATCAATATCGTCAACAAGATGTTGTAGAGCAAAGCCTAGACGAGTGTCACAGTGCCATTCCTTTAGTTCTTCTTTGACCGCCGGAACATGACAGCAGATCTCGCGCTCCCTCAGGCGACGTCTGTGGAGTGCAAGGGAGATGCAGTTCTCGCGTGATAGTTACCGATGCTTTCTTGCGGTGTTGTCACGCGTGGTCGTCCTCTCCTTCGTCTGTTTGCCAAACTCCCTTCTTCCCGGCATCTTAATGTCCACCTTTGGACTGTGCGTGTTAACACTCCAAGGCTGATGGCAATATTTCGCATCGGAACACCACGCTCCCATTCACCAATGACCCGCCCTCTTTTCGTTACATTCTCAACAGAATTGTCTTTGCCGCCGCCATCCTTAAAAATACATTGCCATGCATAAATATATAATTTATAAATTATAGAGCACAATATTATATGTTACAGCACTTATTCCAAACATACGTTATAGATTAACACAACTGTGACTAACACACGTATTTGTAGATGATAGCATTTACCAATTAATAAACTTCTACAATGGCTGCAAATCTCCGAAGTGAAGAAGTCCATGGCTGTGTGTCGCACGTTACCTCGTGGGAAAACCTGGACCCCTACCTCCCTTAAAACCATTGTTCAGAATGTAAACAATGCTTGCAGAAATTAACCAGTTATACGAAGATGATATAAGTAATGTTATAATGCTATTTGCCAGTCTTCATAGCGAGATGTAACCACTGATATGAACTGTTATTGGTAAGGGCATTACTATCGCTACCTTATAAATGTTGATAAGTGAAACTCATCAAGCCTTACATCAAAATCACCCCGTTGGCACCTGTCACTCACAACTTTTAACCCCACCTTGTTAAATCCTTCTACCCTCGCCTCCTCATGTTCGGGGTTTAAAGGTCTTAGTTATCTTAAGATCCTTCTGGTGGATGTTTTTTTTTTTCTTTTTTTCCCTTCATTAAAAAGATAACGAGATTTATATTTAAAGGTGGATTGAACAGGAGATATCGAAAGTAATAGGTTTCTTGAATAGTTTAAAGGGGGAACATCGACAAGGTGTTGGATATCAGCCGCTGAAACGACAAATAAAGGCAAAAGAATAGGTAGAGTCAAGGGTAAAGGAATATTCCTTTAGCCTTGGGTAGAGTGAAGCAAGACTCGGCCCCTCGCGGCGTGAGTGAGCAAGCGTGAGCTAGGAAGGAGGGTCGCTGGGAAGTGACAAATCCACTGTCAGTAATATGTTAATAGTATAAGTTTCACAGGACTTACACCCTATATACCCCACGATCATTATAATAGTGCGCACTTTCAACGCATTTCATTTCGCGTCCTTTATTTTCACCAACAGTTTCGGAAATAATATAATAAATTAGTTTGACTGACGATACACTTTGAATTCATTTGTATCTCAAACTTTAAACTGATATAATATATATATAGCAAATGAAGACTTTCTATACGTATATGATTGCGAGAGGCGGAGCCAAGTGGCCTATCATAGTCAAACTGACCCCAACCACAGCATACACCGATTCATGAACGCGCCAAACGAAGTAAAAGGAAAACAAGAGAATCGAAACTTAAGCCTTTCTACCCTCTTAGCCTCGAAATTTAGTGTCCAAAGCCATTTATTAAAGTTTAGTAGCGCAAGAGGCGCTCTCTGAGACGATACATTATTCACAACAAATATTACACATAGTGTGTGTGTGTGTATATGTGTGTGTGTGTGTGTGTGTGTGTGTGTGTGTGTGTGTGTGTGTGTGTGTGTGTGTGTGTGTGTGTGTGTGTGTGTGTGTGTGTGTGTGTGTGTGTGTGTGTGTGTGTGTGTGTGTGTGTGTGTGTGTGTGTGTGTGTGTAGAGAGAGAGAGAGAGAGAGAGAGAGAGAGAGAGAGAGAGAGAGAGAGAGAGAGAGAGAGAGAGAGAGAGAGAGAGAGAGAGAGAGAGAGAGAGAGAGCCCGCCAGAGCGAGCACAGCACTCATTCCTCGCTTTGCCTAACGATTCCAGATCACCCTCTTCTCCCCCCCCCCTTTTCTATGTCCAGGTTGTTTGAACGTCGGCCACATTTCAGGTCAAGAAGAGCAAGATCACTTCAAGCCAGGGCTGGCAAGGCGTCACCGCTTTTGTTGCTGGCTGTACATATGTACACACACACACATATATATGTAAGCATACACACATGTATGTGTATGTACAATACATATATATATATATATATATATATATATATATATATATAATATATGTATGTATGTATGTATACAGTATATGAAAGAATACAAGATGGTGCTCGATCTCTAGATATCCGGGTGCAACCAAGAAAGCAAACAGTGATACCGATGAAGAAGAAAACTATGCATTTTGTGTGTTAACCCCAACTATAAGGAATGGAAATGTTTACTAAGCAATTGTGGTGCAACGTCGCACATTATTACAGAAAAAGAGTTCTTTAGGCTTGATGACGATTTCGATCCAAAGAGTGTTCCATGGAAAGTCAGACTACAGGTTGCTAGACAGCGGTTAATTTTCTTTTATTTCCATACAGTAGCCAACGCAGACTCCAACTGATCTGGTCTTAACGGCCAACGGTTGCCTCGGATGCGCCCGAAATGTCGATTAGGCAGAAACTCTTACATCTTCCCTCCCGAGACAAAAAGTTCATTGGGTAATTAAGCCATTACAATCTGAC